ATTTTTTTCCTCTCTCCCAGATCCTTTCTGCTCACCTTCCTATTCTCAGCTTTTTCTTCTTTTCCCCATGCCCTTAGATTTCCCTTCTCAGATCTCTCAATCCCATTTTTCTGGCCTCTATTGTGCTTACACCAATGTCTCCATTTGTCATCTGGGCCCTTCTCATTTTGTTCTGTTGTAAGAAAGTGTGTCTTTCTGAAAGAATGGTCTTGTTCAACCAGAACTAATTTGCTTGACATACAAATTACTATGTGAAACATGGAACTGTGCTATGCAGAAACTTACACTAGATAATTGTAGTGTTTTCTTCTCCTTCCAAAGAGAAGAAAATCTCTCTGTCCCTTTTGTAATTAGTCACTTGCCTTAGCACCTACCCAAGCATCCCCTTCCCTTTTCTTTCTTCATAGCTTTCCCACAGTAAAGTGTTACCAAAGTAACACTTTATCCCCTTCCCTGAACCAGCACTATAAAGCTTACCAGAAAGGCTGACTTTACTTTTCAGTTCATTTTGCTTACTTCTTGTATTTATAGCTAGTTTTAATTCTAATTTTCAGCATTTATCACTTATTCTACAGCACATGCTCCATCCACTGACCTCCTGGGCACGCCAGCTGGTTAGAGCATAAAATATCTTCAGAGAGTTACAGAAAACTACTCCAGACCAACTGTGGTACCAAACATAAAACCTAAGAGCACAGACAGTCTCTCAGGACAGTCTGAGAGCATGCAGACATGGAAGATCCTTAAGTAGCATGGCAAAAACTAAAAAGATCGGAGAGTTAAGACATAAGGAACAGGAAAAACAGTGAATAAAGAGAAGAAAGCTGGAGTAGAGACAAACTTCAGAGGATAAGTGCTGAAAGAGTCAGACTTGGGTCAATGGGGCATGAGGACATATATATCTTTATATGAAGGTTATATACATATAATATATGCATATAAATATATAAGCACTGAAGTACAGTCTGCTTCAGAACCAGACCTTAACTCTGGGTTCCGTAGTTATAATATTCCCCCACCTTTACAAGTAGCTATGAAACCCATTGTTAAATTGTCTCTCTCTTTGGGTTATGTCTTTTAAGGAATAGCAGCCTACTGCTAGTGCTGTTTACTTAGCCCATTCTAGTGATAAACGCATGCGCCACGAATTTCAATTACAGAGGACTACCCACGTTGAGGTCTGCAGACTGCTGCACAATATAATTTCATTTTTCATAAGGCTGCTTTAAAAAACAAAGCTACCATCCCTTTCCCACAGCTTATCACATTTAAAGTAATTTTATAAAGGCAACAAAATGACAGAAATACTTAGAGAAATATTGCTCCTGCAAAAGCAGAGGCATAAAATTAGGCATATCTTAGGACTGCATTTGCCTATCCAACCTTAATTCAGCCCCTTATGTGTATTCATAGGAAAAGGCATTGAAATCCTGGCTTCCTTGAAGCTAATGGGATCTTTGCCATGGACTTCAGAGATACCAGTATTTCACCCACTGTCTTCGCCTAGACACTTGCATACTTCAAATGCAAATTTTTTTCCTAAGGTCCTTTTCGCATTCATTCATGGCATGCTCTGAATGGAAATCTGCTTTTTTCCTACATGTATAGGGTGTGGCCTAGTGCCTTATTTACTATATACACATAAAGCCTACATCAAAAAGAGGATTTAAAAATTCCTCACGGTTGTTTTTTCATCACAAAACCATACCATACTCCTGAATGTTATGTGTGCCATGAATACCCCTTCAGAATGTTTTTTCTGAAACAACTTGCATTACCAATTCTGTGTTGTAGATTGGAACCTGCAGCACAGAAAAATACAAATGAGGGCAAATGAAATACCCTACCAAGCTGGACCTAGTGCTATCTTCTACCCAAGGAAAGTTTGAGCCTTCTTGTCTCACCTCATTTGGAAGGGTCCTGACCATGAACCTACAGATTATTACATTGGTGCCTAAGAAAATATAAAGAAAATATAACAATATCAGATCAAGCTTTGCTCCCCTGCATGGGTGAAATACCCCATAAAATCAATGGTAGTGCTATCAGTAAAAATGAGAATTGGGTTGTGCTTGGACAAGCTATATTTGCTGATACATCATGTGATGATCAAGTACAGCTATGCCTTAGGAATTAAGGATTTACTGATTTAACACTTGACTTCTTCATCCTTCTTAAAGCATTCCTATGACATCATATTTGGATGCTCTCATCGAGTAACTCTCTCAATCTGTCTCTGTAAGGCATCTTATCCATGGCTTTTGCGGATTGTTAAATTAAATGAATGGTTTAATGGCAAAGTGATTGGGATTAATCAATGGACTAAAACAACTCCATGGAGCATGTGTGCACAGAACAGAATGTAAGTGGTTTATAGCAATCAGAAGTGGAGACCCGCAGCTGCTACATATGCCGATGATAACAGAGATAATGAACAGCTTATTTAGGAATTTATCTGGACATGGGTGTAACTATTCAGATTCAAATGACATGTCAGGAGCAAAAGCTTTGATGACTCTATCAACTGTAATTGACCTTTAAGGAGTTGAATTTCTACTGAAAAGCATCTGCTGTGTATGTTAACCTAATGAAAAACATCACAAGTCATGAACCTATGCAGTAAAAATAGAGAACCGTTGAAATAGATATTTGTGGCAAGCTGCAGACAGAATCATCTAAAGTAGTGTAATAAATTGTTGAAAATGTGATGCATGATGATGGACGCAAGCTATGAATTAACATTAACATGTTTTCTTCAGCTCTTCATAACCACGGACACATATAGAATAGTGTGTGGCAGGTATATATTCTTTGTATAAATGCTTCAGTTTCCA